CGCAAGAAATCTTACGGCAAATTTATATTATTACATTATAAACCTAAAATTAGCTGCATCAAAAGCGTTGGGGTAGTTTGCAAACCCCACAGACTATTTACAAAGTAGCCTAATAAAACTGTCACATAGGTGTAAATGCGTGTGCGGACTTGTCTGAAATCGAAAATCTCACGCCAGCCGGCTGACCAAAGTTGACAGCCCCGAGTTATTATTTAATGTGCAATACAACATTAACCCAAACTAAAATTGAGTGAAATTAAAAACTATTCCTTTTTAACTTTGCTGCTAGAAGAACTATGAAAATGGACGTAGTTCATGGGTTAGTTGCTATTCTGACTGCAGCCATTTTATTTCATTGTTTGGTTAAAAAAAACTAATGTGAAACATGTTTGATGAATGATGCACTCTATATGATTCCAAATTACCAGAAAAAAAACCATATTTTTTTCTTTTTTGGGAATCCTGATTTACTTTATATTTTAGTTTCTTTTTTTTAATCCACACTATTTAGGAATAAGATTGTAGCTGTCACCAGGAAATTGGTGCTCATGCATTTATTTAATATTCATTTGTATTTTGTTCAGTGAATGTATTTTGTTTCATTTTGTTGGCAACATGTTATTATTTGTAATATTACTTGTAAAAGGTTTAATGTAGAGGGTTCCTTGTAACAGTGCCTCCCACTGTTCAGCAGAACAGTCTATTTACGCAATCACATGACCTACTGTAGCGTAATGAGCAGCGGAAGGAAGGCCGGGTTAGCAAGCAGAGTGAAGTCAGAGTGAACAACGGCTAAGAAAAGAAAATCAAAAAGGTTTGAAAGAAAGATGTAATGCAGTAATGTCTCCTAAACTGTGGTCAGAAGGAGCACACGGTATGTCATTGTTTTGCCTTTTCTTGTTTTAATATGTATATTTAATATGTATGTTCGTTGAGTTTTCGCTGTCCTGTATACATAGTAGAAGCGTGTAGATTGCTTATTTAAGACCCGTAAATTATCATTGTATGTGTAATGGTAGTGTTTCTTTATTCCAGTTTTTCACTGTGGTTCATGGTGTGATTTGTTACGTCGATGGAAAAATAAATAAATAAACAAAATTACCGCGCTAAACATCAGTTGAATCGTGAACTAACTTCTGACAGAAGAAAACACTAGGAGCCATTATAAAGATTATGGGATGCAGTGAGGCCCACAATACACTCACATCAACACTGCAGTAATAAAGATACAGCACTGAACACAATGGAAAGGCGGGGTCTCACTCTGACGTCCCTCTCCTTCCTCTGGTGATGAGCTCCACGTACTGCGCTGCGCCCCCTGCTGGCAGCTTATTTGTTTCTCTCCCCCCTTTAAAGATGCTGTGCACCTGTTCACTTGGGGGCGAATCTATAAGACCTTTCCGGTTAAACCTGTACGGGGGCAATAAAGGATTGTGACATCAACTAGATTCAAACTCACTGGCTCCAGTTGACCTGCCAGTCACAGCTGGGTCACTTTGCAACCATGAACTTAGAGAAATGTTCTGTAATTAAGGAAGGATGGAAAAGCACTGCCTGTGTTTGAATGAAAAATGATGTGCTGGAAAAATATTCAGAAATGCTGTGTAAATGTTTACATTTATTTAAACATTCTGGCAAGAGCATTCATCAATTTAAAAAAAACTTTACTGTATGGTATTGTTTATCTGACTGAAATGCTGAGCTAAAATACAGCTTTTGACTAAGTCTAGTTAAGGTGATTTTTCTAAAGNCGCAAGAAATCTTACGGCAAATTTATATTATTACATTATAAACCTAAAATTAGCTGCATCAAAAGCGTTGGGGTAGTTTGCAAACCCCACAGACTATTTACAAGGTAATAAAACTGTCACATAGGTGTAAATGCGTGTGCAGACTTGTCTGAAATGGAAAATCTCACGCCAGCCGGCTGACCAAAGTTGACAGCCCTGAGTTATTATTTAACGTGCAATACAACATCAACCCAAACTAAAATGGAGTGAAATTAAAAACTATTCCTTTTTATTCCTATTTTATTCCTATTTTAAACTATTCCTGCTGCTAGAAGCACTATGAAAATGGACGTAGTTCATGGGTTGGTTGCTATTCTGACTGCAGCCATTTTATTTTATTGTTTGGTTAAAAAAAACTAATGTGAAACATGTTTGATGAATGATGCACTGTATATGATTCCAAATTACCAGAAAGAAAACATATTTTTTTCTTTTTTGGGAATCCTGATTTACTTTATATTTTAGTTTCAGAATCAGCCTTTATTCGCCAAGTGTGCTGGGGCACACAAGGAATTTGTTCCGGCAGCTTGAGACTCTCTCGTACATAGAGACACTATACAGCTATACAACAATAAATGACACTATACAACAATAAATGACACTATACAAACAACAATAAATTACACTGTACAAAAAATTACAAGTGTGAAACATAAATATTATATACAAAGCGCAGTAATGTAATGTAAAGTAATGTTCTGTAATTAAGGAAGGATGGAAAAGCACTGCCTGTGTTTGAATGAAAAATGATGTGCTGGAAAAATATTCAGAAATGCTGTGTAAATGCTTACATTTATTTAAACATTCTGGCAAGAGCATTCATCAATTTAAAAAAATTTAGTAACTGTATGGTATTGTTTATCTGACTGAAATGCTGAGCTAAAATACAGCTTTTGACTAAGTGTACTGTAGTTAAGGTGATTTTTCTAAAGCTGTGTGTTCATCCACCTACTCTTACAGGATTACAGTGGGTTTCAGCCAGTGGGTCTCGGCCCCTTTAGGGGGCCATTGGCATTCCTGTGTCTGGGGGTTTTTGTTTTTTACATTGTTATAATATGCAGACGTAACTAAATATTATTTTGAGTTATTGTATATTATTCTTGTGATAAATGCAAAAAAATAAACCTATTTAGGCCGAGCTTGTCGCCTGCTCAGACTAAACTAACTAATAACTGGCTACCAACACAACTAGCTCAGTATTTTCATAAATTCAAAGCAAATCAAAATAAAGCGTTTCTCTTTCCATCACATATGGAAATGGCCAGTGTGTTATATCATTATCATTTAAACAAATGAAACTATAGCTGTAGTAGCTTCATTGCAATTAAGTCACAGTCAGGAAGACGTCTTTCACTGTTATTTCTAAATGACAAGTTCTGATTAATCACGTGTTACTCTTCCCCCTACAGAGGAAGCACAGTCACCCTTCCATGCAAAGGCTGCTTATTTGGGTCCCCAAGTGATCCTGGTGAAAATTTTCTTGGCCATTCCTGCTTTTTCCCGGCCA